GCTATCGTACAGACGACGTATACTGAAAACAGACGAGATATGATTTGATACAAAATTCATCTCGTCAATGATCTTCGGCCATTCCGTTTCACTGACAGTGGTGTTTCTGGGTGCCTTATTGTGAAAAACAACGAGAAGTTCATCTACTTAGCATGACTACTCAAGCTGAGAGGGAGGTGAACACGCCCTCCACGAAATTCGGAGTATTCATCTTTAACATAATTTCAGCGATAATTTGCTTCATGGCAATCTCCAGCGATTTCCTCACTACATCATAAAATCCAATTAAACGTATTGTAATTCTCATATCGCAAACACTGGTCCTAGAAGTGTCTGAGGACTACCATAGTTCTTATGAAGAAAATTCTATTCTCCTCAGACATACCTCGAACAAACAGTGATATGATGAGCAATCTGTGATAGAACGCGCATATGAAGTGCTTCACGAATCCATAGGAGAGAGGGGTGTTGATGTGAGTACCCTCTGAAAAACACAGCTCAAGAGTCAGCTATTCATATTAGAAATAATATACTTTACAAATAGCAAAGAAGCTTAAGTTGATCTATTAGCTTCCTTTTAGGAGAGATTCGTTCTCTAGGAATGCGTGTAACTACTTGTAATCTTCTGTGATTGGCACCGGCAAATGCTCGCCTACGAGATTCCTAGAGAAGTCTAGATGTATGTCTTCAACTAGAAGGTATAGAAGGGAAGCTATAGTGACGATGCACGTCATTGACATCAAAAATAAGAAATTTCTCTTCTATTCTATAGGTCTATTACTGGGTTGTTGAAATAACGGCTAGGTTGAAATACTCGAGTTTATATGTAATAGAATAGAGTTGTCATTTGACTTGATTTTCATCGCTCACCCTGAAATAATCTCTTGAGTTTTCGAAAGCACTTGCTCAGCAATTGGGCTCGTCTTAGCAATGGTGTGCAATAAAGCGAGTGATGTCCGACTACCGAACAAACCAAGCATACGACGACGAAGCCCATCCATTAGGCAGTTCTCCACCGCAACTGAAAAAAGAAAATCGCTGAAACTCCCTGTGCACTATACTGATTTTGGAGACATCAACTAAATTTGGTATTGATTGCTTGGAAATTATTACGATTTTCTAGTGGACTTTAAGATTTGGTCTTTGGGTGCTCTCAAATTAAAATGAGTGAAGCGATAAAGTGGTCTTGTTAGTAGAATGCTTAAAAATGGTCTGTTCTCAAATATCCCAAAGGATCATTTCCACTTTAAAAGAATTCACCCTTCGAATAGTAGTCTGCTGGTTGAACAAGATTTTCTTTCTTAGGAGCGTCGAAAGCTGTTTTAACATTGGTCTAAGCTCGTTAGCACTTGTCGGATAATGACAATAAATACAGTAATACAATAATTATAACATAATAATAATAATAATAATAATAATAATAAGGATAGTAATGATAATGATAATGTTTTACTTTTATTTTCTGCCTTCTATAATTTTTATCCAGGGTATTAAGCGAAATACAACCACAAGATTGCTGATATATTTGCAAAACTCCGGGCCGCAGGTGACTGCGGTGGGGTATGAACGCGCTGTTGTCCTCTCCGGGGAGTAACGCGTTCGCCACCACACCATGTGGATCCTTCGTTCCGCCTGTCTCTCAGCTAGTTCTATTGATCAGTGCCATCAGCTATCCCGCAACAAAGGACCCGCATGGTGTGGTGGCGAACGCGTTACTCCCCGGAAAGGACAATAGCTCGTTCGTTCACCACCGCAGACACCTGCGGCCCGGAGTCTTGCAAATATCTCAGTAATGATAATAATGTTGTTACTAGGATGGCAGCGGTGGCCACACTGGGGTTTACACTTAAACGGGTTTTGAGCTTTCCGATGGAAACACGTCGAATACTTTTCTAATTTGGGGAGCAGTCGGAGGAGATGGCCAATAAGCGTTACATCACAATCCGGGCACAAAGACCTCATAACCCACAATAAGATAGCAATCCACTGAAAAGAAGATGGCTAATTTTTAGCTTTGCCTTTGTGGATATGCAGGTTCTTCGACAAAAAACGATAATTTCTCGATAGCTAGAGGACTTAAAAGATTAACACCACGAGAGTGTAGAAGTCACTTTATTCTATCGCGCTTTATGGCTATGAATGGTGCTGCCCTAGCATGTGTACCTATTTATCATCCGTTATTATGACTCCTCACGCAAACGCTTTGTTGTCATTTGGAACTATTTTGAAGCTTGTGTTGAGTCTAGTCTCATCTTTTTGTACTCGTCCATTTCATACAGTAGCCATGATAAATCATGACAAATAGAAATGAAATAACATTTAATTCCCAGACAAATAATCGACAACTGGATTCGTTCTTTTTGTACATTTCCAAGAACAGAAAAAAATTTTTCCCCCAAAGTCGGCCACAACATTTTTGTTGATTAAGCTACCGGATGATTATAAGAAGTATAGTAAAAAGGTTTTCTGAACTAAGTAAACCATCTGAATGAAAATGGCCTCTAAAAAACTCTCATTCGCCATTTCGGGAGTTCACAACGATTACATAGAACACACATACCATCTTATGCGTTAAAACGGTGGCAAAAAAACTTGGCGCCTAGTCACTTTCTAACTCTAGCTGTTTGATGCTTTGTATACTTTTCATTAGTTTGCTAAAAGTAAAAGTAACGCTTTTCTCTAACTTTAATGTGGGGGCACTACGAGAACGGTGGTTTGCGTGCAACGACAAAACAACCACCGTTAGCACATGACGTCATATGGCGAAGAGGAAAAGCCGAAGCGCTGCACGAAAACCACCCTTGACAGGAAACTGCCAGTTGTCTGCATTTCCAGGTTCGAAATCTTCACATCTTGTGCGGATGCCACTATTGTAGTCGTCGCCTCATGGGCGGAAAGGAAACATCTTGTCCACCATCTTCTCTCAGCATTCTTAAGGTAACTATGGGACTCGTGGAGCCCGTCAGGATGTTGAGTCTCTACTTCACTCAGTGAAGGTAGCTGGACCTATGCCAAATACCGCCTTCTCCAGAAGCATATAAATAGACTCGTTAATTATTATCCAGGTTCACCCTTGTCCAGGTTCGTCATCCTGATCCTCATTCTCTTGTCAATGTCCATTGTTTATCAATTGGTCTGCGGTGTGTTGTCAGTAGCGGCGGCTATCCTCAAATGCGTTCTGTCTGAAACGCCATCGGTGGCATGTACCATTCCTCCCACACGGTACGCCATGCGTACAAGGCCGCTAGCCGCCCAACTTATGCTGTGTATTTGTTAAGCCGCTATAAAGCTTATCATTTCTCAGTCGTTATCTTTCTGGTCTATAATCTCTTAGGCAATGGTGGCACCCATCGATGCTCAAACTTCACGTTGCAGATATATCGTTATCCAAGAGCAGCCGCTTGACCGTGTTCCGCAGATGTCTCATCTCGTTCGTAGTCACTTCCACCATCGATACTTAGGTAACTTGATATCCTCATCGATTAATGTGCAAGTGAACCCAACCGCTCTACATTCTATCTCTAGCTTAGCCTAATGCAGGGCTCGTCTGCATCTTACTCTTCTGTTGTTCTAGCCCTCAGCATGCGGGCCACTGTACGCGCCAGTGCGGGTGCCATCGTTCGTATCCCCTTACTTGTCATTGTTATCAAGCTGCTGTTATCACAGTACTAATGTTGTAATAGTACTATTTACAATACTCTTATACCTTCGTAAGCCTCGCTTTAGTAGTAGGTACAGCCCCTCATAGCCTTGAACTTGCCTTATTTGTGTGTTAGTAATCCTCTGTCGATATTAGTGTTGTATCGATGTTGCATTTATGTATATAAACGGTTTAATTACCCAAGTTTGAGGTATTGCCTTGCGACAACTACGAAAAGTCCCGCGTGGCCCCGAAGTCCCGTTTTTCCACGAAGTTGAGCATTCTGCTAAAAGCTAGTGATTATTCGGTGCCGAAAACTGACTCGAAGGCCTATTTTTGACTAGCAACTGCAATATAGATTCTTCATATAGATGGACCACTTATAGATATCCCTTCCATCCAGCGTAAATCGGTTATTAAAAACTGATCAGTTTCTTATGAACGTTGTCTTCTTTAAGTCTATTCTAATATTGACTTTTCTAAGAACACTATCAAAATCAACGAGTATTCTTCCTACTCGGCTGATTTTGCAGAAGAATCACGTCGTCGGTGAAAACCAAGATAGAGTAGCTGTAGGTCACGACGACTACTACTTCCATTTCATTTCATCTAAGCTTTTTTTCGGTCGTATGAGTTCGAAAACTTCAAAATGTTATTCTTCTGTGACCGAAGAGTGTAGCGCAGTGGTTATAGTCGCCCTGCAATACACATGGGTTCGATCCCCGCCCCAGGCTCACCAAACCTTCCGTCCTTTCGAGAACGGCAAATTGGTGCCAGACCTGTCTCGGAGGAGAGCAGCACTGACTCGATAAGTCGGCAGGCCCCGCGAGTTATTGTAAAGGCCAGATATGCATTCAGTTACCTCAAACGAAACTTAATGAAGTCGAATGCATGGCACATCCGTCAAGGATTGACCAACGCCGAAAGCTTTATCCTTTTTTATCCTTTTATTATACTTTATAAACCAGGGATGCGTCCGAAATCCTTTAGCTGTTTGCTGATTTGAGACCACTTCTAGCAGGATTTGGCATGACGCACGCCGTTTCTCTTCTGCCTTCATGAGCTTTCTTGCTTGATGCTGCCGATGTTAATGTGTACTCCACTTATGGGGTAATTGCGTTATTCCTAATGCTTGATAGGTCCCGTATTACAGTATGCTAAGAGCATTACGGTACTTCTTTGAACTTAATAGTATGGTTTTTTTACTACTCTTACTCGATGTAGCTGATTTGTCATAAGTTAATGAAGGTCTTACTGAATGGTTTCAGAAGAGTACAATAAGCTTTTATAGTTCAGATGTTGTTCTCAACACGAATTCCAAGCATTCAATTGTTTTTTCGAATAAGCCTTCAAAATTAAGCTATTCGATTTCTTTCAAAGATCCGAACTGACCACACAGTGACGTAACATAGGGCGAATTGATATCGATTTGTCGTTTTGTAACAGCTTCCTCCATGATTACTTTCACCTAAGATTGATGAATCAATTTCTGGATTCAGAACAGCGGAAGTGAAGATGACTTGATCTTCACTGATTCAACCTCAGTTTGACTTATGTAAGAACCACTAGAAAGAATAAAATCTGTTCAGTAATACTGCAAATCGTGATATTGTAACTACCGACTAGGCAACTACTACACTACTTAATCACTGAAATAGTATTGGTACTGGATTCTTCGAGAAACTAACAGTTGGTGAGTTGGCTACCCACAGGCTTAAACGTTAATGACGAGGAGAACAAGGAAAAAAGATGGTCAACAACGTTGTTGGATTGAGAATGAACTTCTGCAGTAGCACTAATCATTCTTCATTTTCATTTTTTCTCACGATCGGATAACGCAACGTGTGAATAAGGTACTCGTATCGCGGCTTTATCAAAGGTGCTAAAAACGGTAAGCTCAGTTGTCGTCTTTAGTCACATGCCCTATCAAAAATTGCAATTAAAAAAGGTTGGAGTTTCAACTTTTGTAACTATTCGATTTTAGTAACTTTATTCGAAAGGCACGTGTGGCGCAGTGGTCGGAGGCGCCCTGCAACACACATGTGGAATTAATCCGCGCGCTCATGGCCCACCAAGCCCTCCATTCTCCCGAAGTCGGAAAATTGGCACCAGACTTGTCTGGGAGCATAGCAGCACTGGCTCGATACATCGGTAGGCCACCGCAAGTTATTGTAAAGGCCAGAAGTGCATCCAATCACCTCCAAACCATACTTAATGAAGTCTTATGCATGGCGCATCCCTCAGGCACTGATCAACGCCGAGAGCTTTTTTATCCATTTGAGCAAAGTTAACCGTGATGGTGCCAAATAGCTTTGAAGAAAGTCTCTGTGTGAATGATCATTACGGTGACTTATTGACCAGCTTGTATAAGGTTGGCATAAAATGCATATTGTAGCTAATGTTCTGATGCCTTTAACTTCAAAATAAGCACAGCGATTCGACTTGAGTCGACTTCCAAAATCAGCTATTCTTAGAATTTTCACTGCTTTACCGAGTTGAACCAAGTGGAGAAGAACACCTTACGAATGCTGTGTTGGTGAGGAATAGGTCGTCTGGACAGTACTTACTTGATACTTGAAAGGCCCGTCATCATCACTAGTTGTGCGGGCCCCAGCATAACCACCAGTTTTTGGAGATTTGCCGGGTAAGTCATTGTGGTTCCCCGGAATGCCGAGGACACCCAGGCCAAATTCTGCCCCAGGCCGTCACCACGACAGAGAGTCGCCGTCCTTGTGGGTCAGAGGGAGATTTACCACCATGCGACTTTGATACCAAGACGGTGATGGACAGTAGACTTGAATAATTTTGTTTGTTAAGAATGCGATAACGTTGAAGGAAGCTTTAGCAACCGTATCAACGATGTGATCCCAACCTCGTTTAAGTTTATCGATAAGCCTACATTTTGACATTACCGTATTCTTTGAACTCTTCTTATCACAATGATAGAAATAGTTATCATTCCACGCGATTCACCTCTTTCTTGAGTGCTGCAAGCAGCTGATTCCGATGTTTGGTGGCTTCATCTGGTACCGTCTCATCCACTGATACGACGCTGCCGTGTCGTGTCAAACGTGGTGATGAACAAGTCCTAAATCAACCAAATCATTATCCATTCCATTATCACAGAACTGCTGTTTTTATTCTCGAGTGTTTCCAGTTGACTGAAATTATTTTGGTCGCAGATGGGCAAATCTAATTTAACAAAGTGGATTAGAGGCGACGATGGTGGCTGGCTCACCGTTCCCATTCTGTTTGCGTCGTGTTGTTGTCGGAGAGACCATTAATCCACTCGACAACCGAACTGTGTCGTGGCTTCAGACGTCGACATCGCTGGCTTGCCTGTTGCTCGTCAAGGCTTCGTACACTTCCAAGCATTCGACGACTTTGTTACACGTTCTAATATTATTACATTTGCCTTTTACTTAGTAATATTATATTTCAAACGTATAACCGCCCACGTAAAGGGGAAATCATTTGAAGTAATGAAGGAAAGCGAGATTGTTGTCGATACTGAAGAAGTTGCAAACAGGAAAAGAATTGGATATCACGAATAAGCTATGATTTTGCAACATCATCACTCAAATCTCCTAAAAGAACACCGAAGTGAACTATCGAAATAGGTGTTGCAATGAACTTGCTGTTTACGACTTATCCTACTTAAAAAATGTATAAAGGGGTGAGTGCTGCGTAGTGGTTACAGGTGGCACACACATGGTCGTTGTTTCGATCAGGCGTCCAAAGCAAGGCAAGTCCTCTATCTTTATGGGATCGGAAAAGTCCCAGACTTGTCTGGAAGGACAAAAACCCTGACTTAATAGAATGTGATATGTCTCAGCAAGCCATGCTAAGTATTCATTTAATGACCTTTATGATGCAACGACTGGAATCCATCGCATAATGATTACCCAGGAGATAGAGATCAAATTGAATCCTTTAAACTGCTCTACTTTTTGAAACGGCTCCCAATATTGGCCTGTGCAATTTCGTCGCACTCAAGAAAGGATGCTAACCAAAGAAAGCTAGGTATAGGACCTGAATTGTAGAGGAGCTAAAACAAAACATCTCGAAGAAGATGTGCTACGATTGGTTTGTTCTCAAAAACAACGTGAGAGCTAGAGAAGCGGAGTGAAAGAGAAGATTGATCTATGGACTGAAATTAGATTAAACCCAGAACTTTAGAGACTATGAAACACTTCGCAAGATAATCTCCAACTAGACGGAGAACAACACCAAAACTCTTGACTTGAAAGCAACAAGATTTTCTAAGACCAGTCGACGGTACTATTCGACTGTGGTTGCAGCTAGCACAGTGGTAATGATGCTGTTCATCACGTTTTCACATTGAATCGAGCCGACCAAGCCGTCCATTCCTCTGGATCGGGAAATTGATGCCAAGCTTATCCGGATTCAACTCACTCCTCTCAATGAACCTGGAATGCTCTAGCACGGCTATCTAAGAAATGCAGCGAAAATCGACAACAGCAACCGAACTCGTGTTTAAGAACTTCGAAGACCTTCATGGAATATGGATGCGGAGAAAACGAATCGAATACAAGAAATGCTTGGGTTACTTAAAAAAATATGGGTTGCATAAAAAACATTCGATTTGGTGAAGGTTAGAGTCGAGTGTAAACAGATTTAGAAATATGAAACCAGCATTGAAATATGTTTGCCGAAGTCCCTAAGCAAAGAAGACTTCTGGGGTTTTCAAGTGCTGGAAAGAAAAAGTGAAAAGTAACATGGACTGATCAAGAAGTCCTATACGATTTTGTTGTGTAAGACAAATCTGATTGCATTTAGGCTTAGCAGAAAACACTTCACAACTTTGAGTCTTGTGGTTTTGTTTCACAGACTTCCGTTTTCATCATTTCATTAACCAATTTCTTGTTGGCGTTCGAGAACTGTCTCGACAGGTTCAGCGGCGCCCACGATAACTTTCAACTAATCGCAGAAAGATGTTCATCTTGATCGATAAGATTGCAAGTTGTAGTATAAAGCTATTAGAAACAAAAACGCAGCGATCAACATCGCACTAAACATTCGTAGAAGCGCCTGCTTTTTTTCACATGCCATTGATTCTTTAGTTTTTAGACTCAGTTCTCTATTAATTCCTCTCAAAATTAAATTAGAAGGGAATTCCTGGTTGGATAGGTCATTCAGCTAGCAAGATCATCCCGGCTGAGAAGAAGTCTGCCGTTCTTGTCTGGTAGACCAGATAAGAGTAAACTTATACCATGATAGAGCTCGATGAAGCATTGCTGGCTAACTTCTTGTCGAAAGCACTGGGAAAGATGGTGTCGTTCCAAAGTTTTGGTGTTCTTTGTGTTTAGTAACTGAACAAGCGAAATCCATTGAGAAGTCGTGATGTGCGATGACAGATGAAGACAGATTTTACAAATTGAGTTACTTTAGTGATAAGATTGCAGGTGATACAAGCGATTGGATAGGTGCGAGACGAGGATGCGAAGAAGGACGTCTAAGAAGATGGGACGATATGTGTAATGTGCAAGACCATGAAGACTAAACCTTCTTGCAGACAACAGCGAAAAGTGTATGTTCACGACTTTGGATAATTGCTTCTCGTAAGAAACGAATACGGTAGAATAATGTTTTTTGTGCTCGCGGTATTACTTTTGCAAACACCTCCCAACCTAATCAGACTTCCTTCACCAGGAAAGTAATGAGTTTTGAAAAGCCGAGACCTGGAAATCTTCAAAAAAAAATCATCTAAAAACAATAGCACGTTAACGGTGAAATTCGATTAATACAATACTAATGAAGGATAAAGCTCCCAACACACTCCTCTCACACACGTCGGATCGCCTTAGCCAGGCTGTTTCGAGATTACAAGGACGAACGATTTGACCAGCATTCTACGGCAGTCATATGAAGACTATATCCTCAAGCAGTCGCGAAACAGTAGGCGAAATGTTCGAAGAGCTTTGTGGATAGTGAGTGCGAGGAAACAATCGAATGAAAGAAGTGCTAGGATCCGCACAGTAGATGTGATAACAGGTCACGTAATATGTAAAATTCATGAAAAAAAAGACAAAGATTTGATCAACCCTATTCTTCATGCTGCCCTTCGTCAATCCTACGCCATGCATTTGATTACATTCGCAACACCGTAATGTAGCGAAATGTGTATTTTGATTATACAATAAATTGCGAACGATAATAAATATAAGTCATATCAGTCTTCTTATTCTTCCAAACATTCAGACAGACCCTGGTACCAATTTGTCGACTTTGGAAGGATTAGAAACTAAGTTGGTCTAGAGCACGAAATCGAACCAATGTCTCGTTCTGTACTACATGGGACCACTAGCCATTGTACTACAAATGCTCATATTATCAATCATATTAACTATACTCTCATGCTTCAAAACCAGGTAATGGATACTAGTCAGTCATCAAAGTCTTATGCAATAAAACAGCAATAGACTAGAGAGCTAACTAATTTAATGCAACTGGCCACGATTTCAAAGACTAGATAGATAGAGGATGGGTAGACAGAGAAACAAAACTCGCTAGCAATTTCGTGAAGGTCACCAGCTGGGTTATAAACCTGTGACGGATATCAGCTATGAGCTCAGCACTTCCGGTGACATAAAATGAACGACAGCAAATGGGGAGCTCGAGTTGGGCGTCATGCTCGCCTTCTAACGTTGAATTCAGAGACGCTCAGAGATGTAATAATACAATAAAAAAAGAAGATTAGTGTAACATGAAAAGGAAAAGAAGTAAACATATCCATTTGGAGGAAGGACTCTGTTTCTTACTTCGCCGAAGGAAACCAACGTTTACGTGAAGGGTGGATATATGGTGAATACTATAGATGACACTATAGATCTAAACTAAGACGTAAAATGCAGATATTTATGCTCAGAAAGATAGAAGGAGTGACAAATAAAGGGTAGAGAATTAGTGAGTATAAATACAGTAACAAAAACACCATGCTAATCCGTCTTAAGGCTTCGAAGTCTAGGCTTCTCCAACACGAAACTAGTAGCATTCTTAAAAGATACTCTTTAGCAAGACTTCGGAGTTCTCTAATGTACAGTCAGCCCAAACAAAGATGGACATTCATTCAAAATAGAAACAATCGCGGCTTCATAGTGGTGAAGTAACATCCTTCTGTAACGGTTACAATCCCCTAAAAAAGCTAAAATCACAAAAGGTTTAACTATCAGCTGAAAGGAACTAAGGAAATAAATCGAAGAGAAAGGGTGAACGAATTAGCTATCTTAGTGACAAGTGGTCTTCAACAACTTGTTAGGAATGTGAAGTGATAGCACGATGAGAACTTAACCAAGGCAACACTACTGCTTGCAAGAGTCACTGAAATTCTGACATAGACTTAGGTGTATAGGAGTAGACCCACTCCCTAAATAGTATGCGTACTGAATATAATTTTCTCCATATATACACACGTACACTTACAATAATGCATACACGACCACACGAACATATACAGATATATTTTCACACACAGCTCACGCACACACACACACACACACACACACACACACACACACACACACACACACACACACACACACACACACACACACACACACATTTGCTACGGAAACAGTACATGGCCCATTATACCGAACATAATATTACTCAGTCTCTTTTCAGAAAGTATTCTGTGCGTTTCGATTCGAGAAGATGGCTCACTGAGGAAGACCTGGCTCGATACGAAGGCGAAGCTGCAACGTCTAGACGAACAACAATCATGGACCATCGACTCGGACCATCGGCTCTGAGGAAGACGAAGACGTCGAAACGTTAGCCGAAAATAAATATATTTATCAACCTCGTGCAAGCTTAACAAGAAACAATACATATTCTGTGCGTTGTTTATCACAATCACATTTATTCGCTGCCAAAGCCGAAGGAACAGCTGAGTAACCTGACTCAAGAAGTCTTTGACAGTGGCAAAAGAACCCGACCATGGTTTGAACAGCCGAAAGCATAGCTCAGGAAAAAAACTGAATACATGACGGCACTAGTAAGGAAATAAATCGAAGAAAAAGGGTGAACGAATTAACTTAATCACTTAAGAATCTCACTTCTTCTGCTTTCCTAATTGAATCGTTAGGACATGACATTTTTCCCCCATTGGGGCTGAAGAAGCATTGAGATTAAATTTTCCAAACATTAGATGGGTTAATCAAAATATATGGAGTAGAATGCCAATAAAATGACTCTGAAGACAGGAAATGACTTTTTGAAGAGAATACGAGCTAATTGGAAAGTGTATTCGTAAACTAGTTCTTTGAATTGTTCCAACTACTTCACCTAAAAGCAGGGTACCACCCGTAACACCTGTAGTCCCGTTGATCGTCGAGTGACTCGAGCGGGCGCTA